TCAGTAGAATTTTGCTTGCATGTGAAATTAATGATACTGTTCTATAGTTTCCATACTCTGTTGGGTCACCTTTCTTTGGGATGGGAACAAATATAGATCTCTTCCAAGTAGAATTTTGCTTGCATGTGAAATTAATGATACTGTTCTATAGTTTCCATACTCTATTGGGTCACCTTTCTTTGGGATGGGAACAAATATAGATCTCTTCCAGTCAGTTGGCCAGGTGGTTGTTCTCCAGATTTCGTGGCATGTGAGCACGTCCAGGGCAACATCTCTTAGCTGAAATATGTCAGTTGGTCCTATGTAACCTATGTACAACAACATAACAGTATAAAAAGTACAAAACAGATTCATAGATTTCTAATATATTAATACAAAGTACATGACTACATGCAGTAATCCTACAAGCAAAGAGAGGTAGAAAGGATACAAGAAGATTGTAGTTGAAGTCTAGTAATAAATGAATGAATGAATGAATGAATGAATGAATAAATACAGAAGTAGAGAGATCCATATAATAGCATATTCTATCACCAACACTGCAGCCAAAATGTACAAAAAAGAAGAGGAAAGAATCTGTTTCAAATAAAACTTGGAATGAAAATGATAAGGCTGGGACTCTTGTAATACAGCTTAAAGGCTGTGGTGACCCAACTCACTGCGTAGTCTGTGTATGTATATTTATATATATCATGGATGGAGACTTTTCCCCAAATGAAGACATATAGAATCTTTTTTTTTTTTTTTTAAATTAATTTCAAGGAGCATCTGCAGAGATTTTGGACTTCCATTCATTCATTGTTGCACTTTTCTCCTTGCCCTCCACCCCCAGCTCACTCCTTTCCTTGAAAAGCAAAAAAAAACCCCCTTCATTGTTACACAATCCCCCCTGCACACCCTCGTCCCCACCCCCACCCTGAGTATACTCAACTCTGCAACCCTCATTCCAGACTCTTATAATAATCATAATGCTCTAAAATATATTACTTTTAAACTATTCTCTCCCTGATTGGCTTCAATGCAGTAAACATAATTTATCCAGTTTTTCTCAGTCTTACCTGCACCCTGATGTCAGCCTCATTCTACAACAGTGGCACCATATAGTATTTGTCCTATTGTGACTGAGATATTTCACTCAGCATAATGTCCTCCAGAGTCACCCATTTTTAATAATATTGCATGAGTTCCTTGTTTCTCAGTGGAACGAAGTATTCCGTTATGTGACTATAACACAGCTTCTCTATCCATTCGTTTGTTGATGGGCACCTGGGTTGTTTCCAACTCATTGCTATTGTGAACAAAGCTATGATAAACATGCGTGTGCAATATCTGCTTGGATGTCATTTATGGTCTCTTTAGGGTATATTCCCAGTAGTGGAATTGCTGGGTCAAATGGTGTCTCTATTTGCAACTTTCTGAGAAAGTGCCACATTGCTTTCCACAGTGGTTGCACCATTTTACACTCCCACCAACAGTGAATAAGGGTTCCAGTCTCTCCACAACCTCGCCAGCATTTGTTGCTTGTCGTTTTGTCAAATTTTGCTATTCTGACGGGGGTGAGATGATAGCTCATAGTTGTTCTGAATTGCATCTCTCTTAGAGCTAGGGATTTTGAACATTTCTTCATGTGCTTGTTGGCCATCTGAATGTCATCTTTGGTGAAGTGGAAATAATAGAATCTTAAGTTTAGGTTACAAACAATAAAACTATAGATGCCAATAAAAAGTGGATCACTCCCTATTGATCTTTATACTACCCATTTTAAAAAATCTAATTTGAAAAATAAGCACTGAGTATTGTTACTTACTATAACGTAGGCAAAATGTTCCCCCTTTGTTATGAAAAAAATCTTAGGTGGTGATAGGTTTATCTTAAACTTTTAAAAAAGAGGCAGTGAGATGAGCTCTGGTGGCCTAGTGGCAAGAAGCTGCACTGCAATCCCCAAGGTGAGCAGTTCAGATCCACCAAATGCTCTGCTGGAGAAGGAGGGACAA